ACGCATTTTCATGATCCTTTTGTCCTTTCATTTAGTAACACATGCATTGGGCTAGGATAATAGAGATACTGCAAGTAATTTTTTTAAAAAATCCATCTGTAAATTTAGCATGGTCTAGCCTTCCTCCAACTTATGTCCCCTTGGATATATTGAACTTCAGAGAATCTTTGAAGTTGATATGGTGCATAGTGAGAAGAAAAGGTAACTGAGCAAATGCAGTATGTACTTGGTTGGAGGCGGAGAATTAAGAGGAAATTTGACAATTTCCTCTCCAAATGATACATGCTATAAATGTGGATATCTGATCAGCAAGAAGCCTGTTTGAGAATGTATTTGTTTCTATATATCTATTAAAATTAGATCAAGATGTTAGAGTTTGCTGATTGTAATGGATGCTCAATGCCCATGAAAATATACCATTTGAAAATATAAATAAACTGAAGTTAGCTTTTAAAAACACATTTATTGAAAGTTGTTTGCTCTTCATAATTAGCAACATAAGTGACAAACAATTACAATTGTTTTCTAGGCACGAAAAACATTTCTGAAGCTTGCATACTGTGACATCTGTCAGAAGTTTTTATTAAATGGATTCCGATGTCAAACCTGTGGTTACAAATTCCATGAACACTGCAGCACAAAAGTTCCAACTATGTGTGTGGACTGGAGCAATATCCGGCAACTCTTGTAAGGACTTTTTAGGATCTGGTATAGAAGCAATTCTACCTGTTGAAATAATGCAGAACCCTGAATACTTTAAAAAAAAAAAAAAAAGGCCAGTCACCATATTGTTGATTAGTTGCCTGACTGATAATTCTTTCTTAAACATTCTATGTAAAAGTTGCAAGGACTTTTTCAGAAAGTTTGAACTATTTTGTTTGCTATTGGCATTTCATTTGCCTACTTCCTGTGTTCACCATGTTGGAATGATACTGCTGCTTCTACTGCAGCAATGATCTCCATCTGTGACTTGATACGCAGCAACTGTGTGCATTATTTTAACCATTGCACTGTAACTACACCTTTTGTACTTTTTATTTGTTCTTAGTGCACCTGGCAGGAGCTAGGCTTTGGTCTGTGTTTGTTGCCAGCGCAGGTTCCCTAAACTGCTCAGTTGTTTATTTTTCCTTTGTTTTTAATGCTGGTGCTTGTTTCAGCAGGTAATATCAGGAATGGGGAAAAGTATTTGTAAAATTAGCTGCCCCTCCTGTTTGTTTAGAATCTTTGTCATTCCGCTCACTGCTGTAGCTTTATAGCTAAATTTATAGTGGGTCTTTGCTCAAAGATGCAAACTGAAGTACTTACATAGAATCTGAAAACACATTTTAATTGTAACTATTTTTATTTTATTGTCTGGTTCACACGTTGTGGAAAACCAGTATGTGGTTTATTTGATTTTGGTGTGGTGAATCCAACCATGGTTGTTTAGAAATCATGATTTAGGGCTTTGTGTGTTTTAGCTAAGCCATATGTAATCTATTCAGTAAACCATGATTAAGGAAGCAGTGTGTCAGCAGGTCTACTAGTCCTTTGACTTTTGCCATTTTTTTTCTGTCCTGATATTGTACTAAAGGTCTCAGCTAAAGCTAATATGATCCTTGTGATGGAATAACAACTTACACATTCTGCAAGGAATTTGCAAAAGGGTTTAAAATCAAAATGTCTTGCTTTGAGTTCAGAATGGCTGTTCTTCATTCATTATGTATTGTTTCAATCATTTTGATAATATTTGGAACTTGAAATTCCCCCTTTGAACCTGAAATAGCAAGTGAGTTTCAAGCTCAAAGCAATTGTTTAAGACTTGAAATGAGAGCGCCACAGATTCAAAGTTATTTAAATCCAAAATGTTTTGCATACCCCTTTTGTTATTTTTCAGTTGTTAGTCACTTCTAACTCAGTGGTATCATTTCACCATGATTATCTGTCAGTAACTGTTTCTTTGAGTTTTTAAAAGCTCATGTTTGTGTTATCAGTGATAGTATCTAGCCACCTGTCACCTTCCCCCCCATTGCCTTTTTTTCCAGGCCTCAGAGTCTTCTCCAGTGACTTTCCTTCTCATTTTGTGTTCAAAATATTTAAGCTTTAGCTTCATTATTAGTGCTCTCAGTAAACAATCTGGTTTTAATTCATCTAGCACTGAATGATTTGTTCGTCTTGTAATCCGAGGTATTCTAAACAATTTTCTCCAGCAACCACAGTTCAGAGGCATCAGTTTTTCTTTGTTCTGTCTTTCTGATGGTCCAGCTTTCACGCAGTACTTTACAACTGGGAAAATCAAGGCCTTGATTTTAACATTTGATCTAGGTCTGTCATAATCTTTCTCCCAAGTAGCAAACAACTCTCTTGTTTGCTCCATATTCTGCAGTTACTGTTGCTTTCATAAAAAGAAAAGGTAAATGAGGTAGCCTGGTACATGCATGTTTTTAAGGGCTATTCATAATTAGCTGTGGTCTTCATAGTCAAAAACATTTGTATAATCAATAAAGCAAATATAAGCATCCTTTTGAAATTGTTTTGCCTTTTTCATTATTCATCAGATGTTAGCAATATGATCTTGGGTGCCCCTGCTTTTTCTGAATCCAGCATATACATCTAGCAGTTCATGTTCCATCTATTGTTGAAATCTGGATTGTAAAATCTTGAGCCTTGTCTTACTGGCATGTGAGATATATTCAATTATTCAGTAGCTTGAAATTCTTTAGATTGTTCTTTTTTAGAATTGGAAGATAAACAGATCTTTCTCATTCTTTGGCCGTTGCTGTGTTTTTGATACCCACTTACAAATCACATATAGATCTTTAATGGCATCATTTTTACAGATTTTAAGTAATTCTATTGATATTTTATCAATTCCTGCAGCTTAATTGTTAGTATTTTCTAAAACCCATTTAACGTCTCTTTCCAGAATATCTGGCTCCAATTCGGTAATCAAACCTTTGCATCATCGATTTTGGAATCTTTTTTCTATAGTACTTCCATATATTTGGACCATTTTTTCTTTATATCTTCTTTCTTCAATAGATCTTTGCTTTTTTGTTTTGTATTGTGCCCATCTTTGCATAAAAGTTTCCCCTCGTTTCTGTAATTTTGTTATATAAATCTCTTGTCTTTCCCATTCTTTATCCTTATTTTTGTGGTATTGCTTATTTAAATGTAATTCCTTGTCTCTTCTTGGTCTTCTTTATAGCTCCACATTTAGTTGGGTAAAATTTCCTTTTGCTTTCTGCCTTTCTTCAGCTGTTTTCAATGTGTCAAACAACTATTTTGCCTTCTTTTGCCTTTGCATTTTGAGATATTTTTGTCTGTTTCATCTGTAATTATGTCACACATTTCAGCTCAGCATTCTTGAAGCACTCTTTTTATTAATCTAATCCCTTAAACCTATTATTTACCTTCACTCCATAATCATAATAGGATATTGCTGAGGTCTTATGGTTGGTCTATTTTATTTCTTTTCTTTCATTTAAGTTGTAATTTTGCAAAAATGAATTTGTGATCTGGGCCACAGTTAGCACCAAGTCTTGTTTTTGCTGACTAAATAGTTTTTTCATTTTTGTTTGTAGAGTACATGGTCAGTTTAATTTAGCTGATGTTCTTTTGGTGATGTCCATGTATAAAGTTGTATTTTGGGTTGTTGTAATGAAAATATTCGCTATAAACATTCACTTTTCTTGGCCTAACTCTATTGGTCTGTCTCTTATTTTGTTTCAGGCTAAATTTTCCCATTATTCTACATGCTGTTTTACTGAGTATGGCATCTCTTTTTGGTTTTGTGTTGACAAGGTGCTGCAAGTTGTCATAGAACTTCTGCTTCTTCTGCAACTGTGGTTGGAGCATAGATTTGGATCATGCATTAGAAGATCTGATAATTCTCTGATATGAAATATTCCAGTGACTTTCAGTGTGCTGATTCCCAGAATGCAATGCTCAGGCTTGTTGCTGTTGCTCTGATAACATGAAGTTTGCCTTGGTTCATGTTGTGACGTTCCATATGCCAGTGGCATACATATTTTGCAGCACTGAACTTTTTTTTTGCTTTTGGCCACATCCTTTTGGCTTTAATCTAGCCACGTCATAAACACCAATGCTACTTGCACTTGCTGTATGCTCTTCTCCAGGAGTTTATTGGGGATCTTCCAATTTGGGTGCCTTATCTTTTCAGTATCATACTGATATTTTCTTGTTGAGAATATCCATTTGGTTTTGTCAGAACACTGGAATAGGTTGCCATTTCTTTCTCCAATAGATTATATTTAATCTGACCCCTTTTCAAAGACTTGCCTATTATGGATGACCCTTCTGGGAGTGTATATTCCAATATCATAGCTCAAAGCAATACTCCGATGCGCAAGCCCCTTTGCTAGTATATGGTAACAATCCATGAAGGTGCACACCTACATTCTACTAAAGTAAATAAAGGGTTAACTGGGCATTTCCTTATAAAGGTTGTCCTCGACTTACAACCATTCATTCAGCGATTGTTTGAAGTTACGATGGTGCTGAAAAAATGGACTTACAACTGGTCCTCGAAGTTACAGCCATTGCAGTGCCCCTGCGGTAACGTGATCAAAATTTGGGCACTTGGCAGCCCGCCCGCACTTATGACCACAGGGGTACTTCAACTCCCACTAGCCACCTATCTTGCCCCCCATCTCTGCCCTTTTGGCTGCCCTGCACCCTGCCTTGCGGGGATGGCAAGCAGCCCCAGAACCACGTGGCTCTGGGGCTGCTTGGCAGGCTGCGGCTCAAGGCCTTCTTGGCATCCACGGCTCTGGGGTTGCAAGAAGCCCCTGAGCCACATTGCAGCACAAAGCCACAGCTGCCCCTGGAAGCCTCAGTCCCCCCTGCCTGTCCCAGCAAGCACCAGTATGCCGGAGCACCCAGGAAGCCCCAGCAAGCATTTGTTTCCCAAGGTGCCTTCTCTCCCAGTTCCCTGCACCAGTCTTTCGCCCTTTGTGCCCAGACACCGTAGCTGAAGCAGAAGCACCCCGCTGCCTTTGTTGTCTCCTTTTTGGACCCAGCTTCTTCGGCAAACATTTCCTACATGTGGCTCCCTGAGCCTTTGGAAAGCTGTGCTGTCTTCAGAAAGCCTTTGGAAAGACAGGGCAGCTTTCTGAAGGCTTTCTAATTGGACAAAACTGCTTCTGGCCTTCCCTGTTGGCTGGCATTCTTATTTGTGCTGTGCTGCTGGGCCGGACTGGGGAGCAGTCGTAGAAAACCTTTGCCAGAAAAGCTGGGTCCGAAAAGGAGGCAGTGAGGTGCTTCTGCTTTGCCTGTGTGGCTGAGCACAAAGGGCGAAAGGTTGGTGCATGAAACTGGGAGAGAAAGCAGCTTGGCGAATGAATGCTTGCTGGCTCTTGCTGAGGTTTCCCAGGCACTGCAGCATGCTGGCGCTTACTGGGGTCGGCTGGGGCAGCTGAGGCTTCCAGGGTCAGCTGCAGCTTCGCACTGTGCTGTGGCTCAGGGGCTTCTTGCATACCCAGAGCCACGGTGCCCCAAGAAGCCCCTGACCCACAGCCTGGCAAGCAGCCCCAGAGCTGCACAGTTCTGGGGATGCTTGCCGCCCTGTAACGAAGAGTGCAGGGTGGCCAAAAGGGCAGAGATGGGGGGGAGATAGGTGAGTGGGAGGAGTTGGACAGCCCTTACCTTGCTGAGGCTCAGGGCTGGGAGGGACCAAGCCCAGAATGTCTTGAATGGGGATGAGTCCTCAGCTAATGACTGGTGAAATTCGCTAAACGATGGGAAAGGGGATTGCCAGGATTGCAGTTGTTAAGTGATGTGGTCTGTGACATCTCACTTTACGACTGCCTAGCTTAGTGATAGAAATTCCGGACCCAATTGTGGTTGTAAGTCGAGGACTACCTGTAAACAAGGCTGAGCAGAAAGTTAAGAAAGAAAGAGTGAGAAAGAGGTGTGAGGAGAGACGCAGCTGACAGAGTAAACAAAGGGGGCGGGATTGAGGCAATCAGTATATATAAAGAAAAGAGAGAGACTGGTGCATGTGAGAAAACATAGCAGCGTTCTGTTAAAACAGCTCACACTTCTCTACCTCTAAACAAAAGCAGTTTATGTCCGTATTACCTGTTCATTCTTAAATAAAGTTTTAGTTGTCCTGAGCTGGTCCTCAGACTAAAAGAGAGACAGAATATAATAATTCTTATCCCCTTACCTAAAGTACTATGCTATCAAGAAAATAAAATAGAAAATACAATTTCAGTATAAGAATTCTAAGTTTATTGTTTTTGGGTAGGGGCAGTGATGTTTTAACTATTTATCCCCAAAATAAACTTGGAATGATTTATCTCACCAAATCCAGTTTTGCCACACTCCTCTGAAAGTACAGATTCATTTTTAGAAATATGTAGACCATTCATCATGCTAAGTCATACTTTGCTTAACCATGATTTACTTAATACATTCTAGTTATGGTGTAACGTACTATGTGAAAGCATTTTTAAAGTTATGTACTGTTCAACCTGTGTTAATTATGATTTTTCTGTTGAAGAAAACACAGTTGCCCTGGTTCAAACCTTAAAATCTCTTGAGTTTGGTAATTTTTTTCTTTGCATGCTTTGATTTCAGATTGTTTCCACATTCAAATGTTGGTGATAGTGGTATCTCAGCACCTCCTTTGATGACTCGGCGAATACGTGAATCTGTGTCTCGGATGCCTGTTAAGTAAGTGGCCTTTAAGTTGTATTTTTTATTGTTACTGTTTTTGACAGCATTCATAGCAGAAATGACAGAAGCCTGCACAACCATGCATCAAAAAAGCACTATGAATTTCTGGGCAAAACTCTTATGTGTGTAAAATGGTAAGGTTTTTAAAGGAACACTTCACCTCCAATTGATTCACTTCTTCAGTACCACCTAAGGTAGCTCAGCAAAGTAGTATAGCTTTGCACAGTCACAATAATTTAACAAGTAATTCCTTTGCCTCCGGATCTAAAGCAATAAGGTCCAGACCAAAAATTCTAGAGGTTAATGTTCCCTGTTGAATTTTTTTTAAAAAAACTTTTGATTAACTGTTTTTAAAGGGGCGTGCTTATCTGCATGTCCAAACCAGGGTTTGATTACTTTCTGGAATGTGCCTTAGCTTCAAAGTTTGGTAAGCTATAAGTAGTCAATAATAGTTTTTTGATTGCCCTCCACACCAGAATTGCAAGACCATCTTAAGCCTTGGTTTTAAATTTGGAGTTCAGGGACAAAGGCAACCCAAATAATGCCTTTGATCCTTTTCCTTGGAGAGGAGGGAGTCCAATGACTTTAAGATGTAGACCCAAGGCAGTGCATAAAAACACTGCATTTGCCAGTTGCTGTATTATTTAATATGCCTTGTGTAAAGATAATTGTAGGAAAGATTTCAGCTGCTTTTGCACTTAAGTTAATTCTGGCTATATAGAAATTTTAAAATCATTTGACTATATCATTCCTACATTGTGGCTATATTGAGCTTTTCTGCCATGGCACTCACCGTTTGGAATATCATCCTCCCAGAGGTTAGATTGGCTCTGACTGTACCTGCCTCCTAGAAAGCTCTGAAGACATGGTTTTGCCATCATGCCTGGGGATCTGGTTGTGGTGTGGAGCCTGCTAGATGGTTGTACTACTCATGATGTATGGATTGTAAATGCTGCTGATTATGTTTTTATGGTTTTAAGCTTACTTTAAAATGGTTTTATGGTTTATTTGTATTTTTTTTATTATATTTTGCTGTGGTTTTTAATTCTCTGAGTCGCCCAGAATCAGGCTACATAAACTGAATAAATAAATAAAATTCTTAGTACAGGTAGTCCTCACTTAATGACCCTAATTGAGACCAGCAACTCCATCTTTAAGCAACATGGTAGTTAAACGAAACATCACATGACTGCTCTGCTTAGCGATGACATTTTTGGCAATCCCAGTTGCTGTCATTGAGTGAATCCCACGCGGTTGTTAGGCAAGGACCCACCCGAATCCAAGCCATTTTTGGAAGAAGATAAGGGACTGCCTCCACTTCAACTCCCCCCACCCACCTATCTCCCCCCATCTCTGCCCTTTTGACTGCCCGCCTATCTGCCGCCCAGCCTTGCCCACTGCCAGGCCCACCACACTGCATACCAGCCAGGTCCTTCTTTTGCACTGGCACAGCACACTGTGAAAGAAGGCCCCAACTGGTGGTGGCATGTGGTGTGGCACGCACCTGCCTGTGCTCACCTGCCGGTCTGCGGGACGTTTCCATGGTGCCTTGTGTATGGCCAGGATGGTGAGTGCACAAGAAGGGAGGTAGGTGAAGATGATGATGAAGGTTAGCTGAGGGTGGGAGGAGCAGCAGGGGGTCAATTGTAAAAGCAGGTGGACCCTAATTTTGTTCATATGACCACAGGGACACTGCGATGGCTGGAACTTTGAGGTCCAGTCGTAAGCCCATTTTTTCAGCGCTGTTGTAACTTTGAACAGTTGCTGAACGAATGGATGTTAAGTGAGGACTACCTGTAATGATTTTGTAAAGCGCTCCATGGTTCAGAATAAGTCTGCAATTTAGGGATGTGGTCCTAATTTGAAGTCATCTTTTAAAATCAATTTCTCCAATCTGAATGTTTTGGGAAACTGTGATGTAAGAAACCAAGACAGATTGGGGGAAGGACATAATTAAGAAGCTATGATCATTTCCAACATAACTTGTTATTTCTAGAGAGCTGGCTTATAAAGCTAGTTATTTGATAGACTCTGGAATAGGTTCTTTAGATTCTCACAAGTCAGTGCTAATTTCTTAATATAATAGGATAAATTATACCTTTTGTTTTCTCTCCTTTAGTTCTCAGCATAGATATTCTACACCTCATGTTTTCACATTCAGTGGAACAAATCCTTCTCCTGAATGTTCTCTTTCTCAAAGACAAAGATCTACATCTACCCCAAATGTCCACATGGTCAGTACTACTATGCCTGTGGATAACCGGATAATTGAGGTAATCTTACTCCCTGTTATTTAGTTGGTATTTTAAAATATCTGACTGTATATCTATTTAATAATTCTTGAACTGGTTTCATTAGATGTATTTGTTTCTGATTCTCTAAACCATAGTTTGGAGGAGTAGGAATTAAGCTGCTTTAGTTGTATGCTCTTTATCCCTTGTGCGCCTGGCTTAAGAAGAACAATTTTACAGGTAGTCCTCAACTTATGATGACAATTGGGACAGGAATTTTGGTTGCTAAGTGATACAGTCATAAAGCCCAACTGCATTGCTTAGCAACAGCAATCCCTGCAGTCCCGCTTGCCGTCATTTACTGAATCCCACGGTTATTAGGCAAGGCAACTTCCAGCCAGCTTCCCACAACCAAAGTCAGTGGGGAAGTCAGCAGGAAGTTGCAAGTCCCAGGCCTGCAGACAGGTAAGTGGCTGCTGCCAGGTGTGGGAGGGAGTGAGGGTGTGCAAGGGAGGGTTGGGGAGTGTGTGCAAGGGAGTGTGCGGGTCAGGGAAGTTGTGTGGTGGTGCGCCTGAAGTGCCACACAGGTCAGGGAGGACATGTGAGAGGTGCTGCTCGGGTTCAGGGAGGGTGTGCAGGGGTGTGCGAGTGGCCAGTATGGTGCAAGCGCAGAGGGGTTGGGGAAGGTGTGTGGGTGGGAGAGACTTACCCCAGCAACTTGCGGTATTCCCTGCCGGCTTCCCTATTGACTTTTTGGGGAGGCCAGTAGGGAAGGTTGCAAATGGCAATCACATGATTGCAGGGTACTTGGTTAACCAGTCATAAGGGCAAATGGGTTGCCAAGTGCCTGGATTGTGATCACATGACCACAGGGTTGCTGGGATGGCCATAACTCCAAGGACCATTCGTTCAGCACCGTCATAATTTTGAATGGTCGCCAAACGAATGGATGTAAATTGAGGACTACCTGTATCAAACATTTCTCAGACAACATCCTCATATAGGTTGTTATCAATTTTCTATGCTATGATTTAGAGGATTGAAGAACAAGTTATTTGCGGCCATATAGGATAAACTTAGTAACATCTCATTCTTTCAGTGCTATTTGTGCTAATTGATGAACAGTGGAGCCAATTTTGATCTTTATTAACTATGACTTACTGTGCTACAGCTTCTTACAAAGCTGATTGAGTAGAATGAAAGAACCATCCTTGTATCATAGGGCACAACAAGATATTATGCTGTTTATGGTATCTAAGATGAAAGGGCAAATGTACTGCTACATTATCCCCTCCAAATTGAAGATAGCATTCAAACAAATACAGTGGTACCTCAGGTCACGAATGCTTCTGTTCACAACCAATTTGGGTCACGAACAGCACCGTTCGCAAAATTTTGCTTC